ATTCAGAGAATACTTGCTGAGAAACCTTCTAAGAACCAAGACACAAAAGGAAGCGGCATTTCGAAGTTACCAACCTAACATATTCCACAGTTCACTAGATAGGAAGACCAACGCTCTATGATATGTTTAAGAATTCACTGTTCAGCCTCCACAATGACAGCTATGAAACCCGCATCAACAATGACGGCGCTGGGAGGAGCACCGGCCGGAGGTAATCATTACCAGTTCCAAAAACAGCTCCAGATCAGGTTTTAGTCTCGTTCCACCTCTACAGTCTTGTTTCAGCTTCTGCTATGACCGCTGTGGCAGCTCCCGGTGGAGGTACTCTGATTTATCATTGTTTTAGACCACCAATCTTGGAGTGTTAATAATAGCCTTATCGTTCAGCATCCACAATGGCAGCAGCCGGAGGCGCTCAGCCACCAGGTGCCTCCGTTTACATGGGAGCAGCAGGTGCCCCTCCAGCAGGCGCAACATCGGCTTACATCAGTGCACCAGGTGGTGCTGGTGGTGGCGGTGTTAAATCAGTGGCCATTGGAGGTCCAGGAGGGCCATCAAACTTACCTGCTGGACAATCTGGATATTTCGCCGTTTCCAAAGTGGGAGGTGTTCAATCAACATACATAAAATAATCGCACTAAGTATGCCCTACTCGAACCATCTGTATTTTCAAAATTCGATAAGGTGCACAATCAACTTACATAAAGTAATAACACGGACTATGCTCGGCTTGAATAAATGTAAAAGGACATTGCAATTAAATACAGCGCAGAGTGGACAAGCAGTATTCCAGACTTTACCAGAGGCAGTTGGCACACAGAATAGCGCTCATCACACGATAAACCTCATTTACAAAACAGTTACAATGTTGAACGCACGGATCACAATCGAGTTGGTATATTATCTCCCTTGAAAATCGAAAAAGTGATATGAAGCGGGACCACCAATGAGAAAAAATGTAAAACGAAGTATAGAGAGCACCAAGATGAAGGATCTCCCTGAAAGAGCGATAGCGATTTGACAGACTCAGAAGAGCAAGGAGAGGCTTACTACAGTGCGTTTCATAATTATAAGGTCACCCTAAAATTTTGCATTTCCGGGACAAGCAGCAGACTGGTAATTTTTCTAGTATTACCAGCTGATTCCTCACTATGAAAAACCCCTGGATCGCAATTTTGGCGGGAGCAGCTTTTCTTTTAACTTTTTTATAATTATTTTTCGGTTTTTGCACCGTTTCATAATATAAGGTCACCCTGTGAAAATGAATACTACATTATCAGAAACAACCAACCTGCCTGTGAAATTGAATGTTTGTTACAAACACACCCATTAGCTAAATTTATGGAATGTTTCGTACTCGTCTTTTGAAGAAAAGGTAAAGTTTATGCATTTCATGGTGCTTGGCACGGTTCGCGAGTCTTTCCAAAGCATTTCGGAAGTCATTAGCTCTGCTCATGGATAATTGAAAAGCTCCTACGTCTCCAGATATTCTACAAGTTTCGAACATCCACAAAAGGTTTCTATAAATGATTAGAGAAGAGTTATGAGGGCTGTCCCAAACAGTATTTCCGCTTGAAATCGGCGTCGTGCCTAATTTAATGTTTCTATCTTGAAAAATATGAACTGGAGCGGTGAAATTATGCAGCAACATTACCAGGAAAGCAACAAAGATGGTCCGAAGGCTCAGTGGCCATTGCAAAGGGCACAACTTCAACCCGTAAAGTTGAACTTGAAGAGAGATTGAACAAAGTTGAGTCTGCGCCACAGTCGCACCATATAGCAAGATAATTCCAGTAAAGTTGGTATTTTTTGGACAAAACTGGTTTATACAAACAGATCCTGCGAATATAAACACTTTTGAAGTGACTTGCGAAGGTGGCCGATTCACTTCAGCGCTTGCAATTTTAGTTAAGGAGATGTGAAAGGTGTGGGTGCTTTTTGTGATGATGTTGTGTCAAAATTTCGCTTCCATAAACTGCATAATGGACTCCAAAGATTAGCATAGAGCCTTGCGAGGACATCTGACCTCTTCCTTGAGCTGATGAAGTCGGCTAGCCTACGTAGTCATACAGAACAGTACAGGTACCCATGTAGGTCACTCAACCAGAAGCAGCATTTCTCTCGAAACCTGATGAACTGAACAGATTATTCTGAAATTCTAGTCGTATTTTAGTAGAATATCTTATTGTTATGGGTATCTTCTTCATGAAGAATCATGCTTATAAACGCCAATAAGGAACCTCGAAGCAACCCTTGAACACGGAAGTGAATCGATGGTGATCTGCCTTGGAATCTCAATTCCGGTAGGCCACGGAGACTATTCAATGTTGCCCTTGATAAAGGAGGAACCATACATTATTATGTCTTTTTATCTGTCATTAATCTTAGGTAATTGTTCTTTTCTCAGGGTGACCTTATATTATGAAACGGTGCAAAAATCGAAAAATAATTATAAAAAGTTCGAAGAAAAGCTGCTCCCACCAAAATTGCGATACAGGGGTTATTCGTAGTGGGGAATCATTTGGTGATAGTGGAAAAATCACCAGTTGGCTGCTGGTTCCGGAAATGCAATATTTTAGGGTGACCTTATAACGGGGACGCAGACACCGCGTCCTGCAAAATGAGTAAAATGGTAGCAGTCGCACTTTCAACTCACGAACGTGCCACGACTCCTCTGCACCTGCTATCACTACTTGAGAGAATTGTTTAGATGATCTAGTTGTAACTCGAATCTTTACAATAGAGCAGGCATTAACGTGGATGACAAAACGATGTCAATGACACCTTCTAGTGCTTCTTTTAAGTGGTTATCACCCTGTCATCATTCACTGATGTCCTTGTCCAAAACATGTAATGTAAAAGCAATGCCCCAACGTTGCTGCGGCGCGCGCTTTGAATTTTCGGTCAAGCACACGAACACACATCACAAGGTACCGCGGAATTCGCCGTATACAGGACGAGCATTAAAGGAGGAATTCACGATAAGAACGAAGGTCAAAGAAGGAGAAAATTGCATAGTTGGGAGACAGGCGGACCTCCTGAGGGTGCTGACCGACGCGCAATTGGCAGCGAAAGATTTGACCTCGGCGATCTAGCATGGCTCACTCTTGGCGCGGTTGGCGGGGTACGCCCACCGACTATCTAATCACTCGCCGCAGGTCTATACGTGGCGAGTGATTAGATAGCAGAGAGAGCGTAGTGTTGAAGAGGGCACAGCGATGAGAGTCGCATCAATGCGCAAATCAACGGGCAAGGAAGGGGTCCCATTTCGGCAAGATTCGTATAGCAGGCGCGCAAATCAATGTAGCAGAAGAGCCCAATTCGGCGCTTCGGATTGTTTCACATCGATTTTGTCTTCAGCCCTGCCCAGCAACCAATCTACTTATTTCCCAATGAACTTAACTGAGTAATTTACTGATCACTAATTCTGCGTCTCAAGGAATAACTGGATGAAAAGACATTCGAGGGAGTGAAGTGTCAGATTCCTTGACTTCAACAAGAGTTCTATTGGGAATGGGCGGTGGCATATCTATCAAGTATTACATTCAAATATACCTCAATCAGTTTCGAGACAAAGGTTGAGCTGTTACGGGAACTGTCTGTGGTGGCACGCGTGCAGATTTCCTCAAGTTCTGACCTTTCCAAAAACGTTCTGTAGGGGCTCGAGACTCCGAAGCGGCTTTTGCAGACTTCGAAGCTCAGCACTTCAGAAGAATGTCATTCGCGCAGATACAAAATTCTTAGTGCAATAACACATCATGGCCATCTCGCAAACGAACGATGTCATCGCTGCGAACAGTGGTCACAAAATCCTTTGAATTGTCTGAATTGTCAGGAAACCGATAATATTGGGTGAGCTCCGATTCCGATCTGCTCAGGTTCACCTGACATGGTAACATGCGGCAATCTGAGTACGCGCCACTACAATGTTATCTGCTCACTATGAGATGTTGCTAGAAGAAATGCGGCAAAACATCTTGTTTCTGGAACGTAATGAAAGTTTCAGGACAAAAGAAACGACCCCACTCTTTTTACAAGTGTTTTGAAAACACAGCAAGCGAGGAACTCTGTGGCGTAAGCGGATAAGAGCGTGTGAAAAATCGAAAATTTTTCGAGCCGTACAGAATCTCTGGTATGACTGTGTACGCCATTGACAAAAATCTCACTCTGCAGTACGTACACATTGACTTTTCTAATTGCGTTCGATTTCATTCATCCTGCTCCTCAAGCGCAGTCAGTCCGGAACAACTGCCTTCTCAACTTTCTAAAATCATTTTTCTCCAACAGGAATCAACAGGGTGCGTCTTAAAGGCTCCTGTCCCACAACATATCGAACAAACTGTAGTGTTCCTAGTGTTCTTGTTTTGGGCCCTTGATGTTCATTCTGTACACTGATTTGTATACTAACGGTGTACAGTGCTCAATGTACGCCGGCGACATTAACACGTTGACGCCCCAGGGCCGACTTTCGGGCATGTCACACAATGTGTCGCTGGCGTTCGTGCGGGCATACTGGGCGCATGCACAAATCATATGTGGGCATTTTGTGGTTGCGTTTGCTCAATAAGAAGTTGGGGACGCCACATGGCGATCCATTGGAAAGGTCGCGGTAGCACTTCGTTTTTTCATCATACGAACCTCAAAGCAGCATCCGGTAAGCAAACCACACTCTTGAGCGCTTCTGGGACCGTATGCGGTTGTTGGCGCGAGGGGATGGCGGGTCCCCAAACTCGAGCGACGAGTACATCAAAACTTAGGTTGGGTACGATAGGAGAGTACTGACCCAAGTGGTCCAGCAGCTCCGCCAGAAGGCTGGTTTGCTCACCCCAGGACCAAGCCTTGGAGAGGGGACGGACCCGTCCTCTCTTTAAAGCTTAGTTCTGAGGTAGGCACCAAATTGTGGCGGTTCGGGGATCGAGTTGAAGTGGTCCGTCCACCGTCGGGGACTCCATCCCCTCCCCAGCACTTACGAGGGGAGGTCTTTCAGGTGTACCCGCGCTTTCTCAAAACGGTTTTTTGCATGATGTAGAGGGATGTGCGTGGATTACAGAACTGTAGTCCATTTCCGCTAAATGGCTCTCTGAATGCCAAAAAAGGAGTGAAAATAATTTCGTCGGATAGTGCAATTTTTGCGCACTCACCGTGGTTTGTTTTCATGGTATAGGCTTGCATAACGAAGGGTTCTCGCAAGCTCTGTATCGAAAACAACGCGAAGTTTGGCCAAAATTGGGAAGTTGTCGTAGTGATGACATGCTATGTAGTGAAGAGCGTGTGGAAGTTTCATGGGTGCATTTGGCTACTTAGCATTTGGATGCGTCGGTGGTGTAGTGGATAACGGTATGGACTTCAATTGGCACGGTTGGGAGGGGTTGCTGGTTCGCATCGAAGGGGAGGCGGAATTTTTGCGTCCTTTGTTGGCACTTCCAGATCTCGATCTCGAGGCGCCAAGTTGCATAAACGCCATAATAGTAGATGTATTATTCATAATCAGAACCATTAATAACCCCGATGAGGTAAGTTTTCACCGAAAGCAGGCAAACAAAGTTGTGACGTCGAAATGGCGCCAGAAAGCGGCGGCTCCAAAAAACAATGCCATATTCTTAACCAGCGCACTGATTTACCTCTATAGCCGAAGTTTCGAGGAAAATCGCATCTTTGACCTAACTTCGAAAATTTCCACCAGACATAAGCAACTCTTCAAGTATTTTCCAGTCGCTTGAGGGCGAGCTCCGTGTGGAGAACTAGCAGAAAACTACTGCATTGCGGGTGTCCCTCATCAGCATGGGTGTCTACTATTCTGTTCGGTAGGAACATTTCTCATTCCTTGATGTGGATCTAGAGGAGTCATTTCCAAGAAGTTCGCCGTCGAGCCTGACGTGCTACAGAGTTTACTATATTACTCATGGAGCAATTTTTCGAAGTTGGGTCAAAGTCTTGCTTTTCTTGGAAACTTCGAATGCAAGGGTAATCAGGTAGCCTGACTACGAATATGTCAATCATTTTCAACTTCAACATCATTTTAGACCCCTATGACGCTGTTCGACAGCACGTTGATGCGTTCTTAGCGCAAACTTTCTAGCCACCAATTTCGTAATACGCGTATCTTCTATAAGGGTGTTTGCAAGACCTGATTATAATTATACAAAGTTCCTGTAAATTGAACGTATTTTCGGTGCTGAAATTTTGTCTGACGCCAATCGCTATGCAAAAAATTATGTCGCCGCGGAAGAATCGAACCAAGGACCATTTGCTCACTCCTTTTTTGGCATTCAGAGAGCCATTTAGCGGAAATGGACTACAGTTCTGTAATCCACGCACATCCCTCTACATCATGCAAGAAAAAACGTTTTGAGAAAGCGCGGGTACACCTGAAAGACCTCCCCTCTTTGTCAGCATTGACGGGGCCCAGTGAAGACGCCCAAAATGGATGATTTGGTTGCTTGCGTTCGAACAAGCGTCCTTCCCTACATTTTCGTTTTTGTTAAGTGTTGGAGAGTTATGATGGGTTAAGCTGTGCTTAGACGTAATTTTTGGGGACAAGCTTGGGAATTACCGGAAACTATAGTAGCGCAAATTTTGGACAGTGCAGGCAGACTGTTGTGAAATTCCACGCAATTTTATAATCTTTTCTTTGTCTGGCAACGAAAATCACTTACTTCACTAAGGGCGCTACAAGCAACACTAGTTCTTTAGTTTGTTGCCTCTCCCGTTCTTTTGATTACCCTAAAATCCCATAGATAAGAGCGGTCCATAGATATTTTTTCAAAAATAAAATAAAAATAAAAATATTTTTTCAAAATCATTTTTTACCGGTAAATTAAACCGCTCTTATCTATGGAATTTTACTGATCGAATGGGCTCTTCAAGTTCTATCCAGAGATCAAATTCCGGCATTTCTAGAGAGATTCCGGCAGAAATTCCGTTAAAATCGCTATTTTTCTATATGAATTGTTTATTAAGTGGGCGGGGTTTAGAGTTGAGGGACGGGAGCTTCTTCTAAACTTCTTCTCCGATTTTTATTTATCCATCCATCAAGTTAGAGGGGTGACTGCATTCAATTTCAATTTCATTCCAATTCATTTTTCACCGGTAAATTAAACCGCTCTTATCTATGGGGATTTTAGGGTATATTTGTATAGCATTATTCTAGCGCGCTATGTTTTCTGTCGATCAGCATGTTTTCTATGGGCGTTTTTTTTTTGAGGGTGGCCATTACCTCAATGCTGTTCCAAATCGCATAGGCAAACTCGTGGAACATCCTGCGAGTTTGGCTGCTATATTGCTAGAAAAAAGCTAAGCAAGTCCTCTCAAAATGACCCGTCCTTTCAAAGCATCATAAGTTCGTTGGAATTTAAGTTCTCGACATGCCACATGTTTTACGGATTCACGAGACTAACAGAAGTCAAATAGTCAAAGAAGTGCTGGAAAAGGTTCATAGGGAAGTAAAATACAGATGTGCATACCCGGCGATGCACAAATGTAAGATGTGGGAGAGTTGTGTGGGACGTGGCGAGTGATCGCGGGGGCAGATCTGCGCGGGGCTGCAATGTGTATTTCATAGGCAATTCGAAGGAGTTGGGATGTGAGTGGTGGTATGTGGAGCGCAGATGTGATGTAGGAGCGGGAAGCTGCGCCCCAGTGGAGAAAGAAAGGAAAAAATAATCGCGTGAAAATACACACAAATAAGAGCTTTTGCTCCTACGTTCCGGGAGAAAGTGGCAAAAAGGCGCGGGATGAGATGAGAAGGAAATGCGAAGCGTATGAGAGTGGTTAGAGAAATCCGAGAACAGATGAGCACGCAGATCAAGCATTTGCGGAGCGGCAGACAAAATAGAGGATGGGTGGAACGTTGGCGAGGAGGCTGTGGAGTTGCCGTCGTGAGGCGGCGTGGTGGCTTTTTAGCGGAAACTTTATCAGTTGCCTGCAGTTGGGGGGGTGCCTCTCGTGATGGCGCGCTTGGCTGGTAGTGAGGGTTGGTTAGGTGGACGTGAGCCGAATGGTGCGTTTAAAGGACGAATTCACGATCAGAGGGAAAATCGAATTAGGAAGAATTCACCTGGTTGAGGGACCCGCGGAGCTCCTAAGTGTGCGAACTGAAGCACAATTTGCACAGGAGGAGTTGACCTCGTTGACCTATTAAGGTTTAATCCCGCCGCGGCTGGTCAGTGCACGCCCACCGATCATCTGATCACTCGCCGCAGGTCTATACGTGGTGAGTGATTAGATAGGTGAGAGAGCGTAGCGTTGAAGAGGGCACAGCGATGATAGTCGCATCAATGCTCAAATCAACGGGCAAGGAAGGGTGGGGTTCATTTCATGTTCAATTCTTATTACAAGTATTCGCATGTAGTGGGCTAGCACAACAAACAAGCAAAGGAGGAATACAAAAACAAACGGGGAAAGAATCAGAAATAACAGCAATAAACGGAACAGAAGAGAATCCTCAGGTTCTGGGCCGACTTTTCTCTATGGGTATTTCCTTCTTGTGTGTGGTGCCACGCACCATCGCTAAGGTACATTTGAAATGAGCGTTGCCTTTTCCAGCGTGAAGTCGTCTTAAGGTGTGAAGCAATGAACACCCATTCGGAGTGGGCAATGTGACAATTGATGCGCATTGCGAGAAGGAGAGAAATGGGGGCTTGATAATTGAAGCTTAACGTGTTCTGACGGCTGTTACGGGTGTGGGATTCTTGCCTCATGCTACAAGTTGGGGCGGTGTCTGATGGGCGTAGAGCTGGAAGTAAAGACGCAACTGTCGTGACTCAGCATGTTCTATTTCCGATTGATTTCTTTTAATGACTACATTACGAAAACTGTACATGCAGCACGCTAGAAAGCCGATTTTTCTGCGTGCCCTTTCTTCAAAGGATAGAAAAATCTTCTTGCAGTTCTTTGTCGCATATGTCGCCCATTCTAGAGTACTGTCCTATGGTGTGGAGTCCCTCAACGCGTAACATGGTTGAACTCATTGAGGTGTTCAGACAAATTCACTGAGCGAATTTTCGCTCGCCAAGGTATTTTCCATATGTCGTATAGAGAAAGACTGAGACATCTAATGAAAACTCCCTAGAAATGAGAAGGAAACTATTTGATTATGACTTTGTGTACAAAATTTCCGCTGGGCTTGTTGATTTGGATTTCGACAATCTTTTCAAAAAATCAACGACAATCGGACCGTGCGAGAGGGCATACCTATAGGCTTCCAAGGTACCTTTTTGGACACTCCTGTAGTAGGAATGATCATTTTGAACGACTTCTGATAAAAACTGTGTCCTGACATTGGAAAAACACATCAAAAATGTCTTTGTAATCGTTGAACAACATGATATTCCCGCGAAATATTCATCAAGTTTTGCTCATTGTCTTGATCGTGGCATATCCGAGTTGAGCTCCTCCACCAACCGGAGTCACGCTTACAAATGTCGCAGTTCCTTCTGCAGCGCTTATGTCAGAAGGACAACGACAGTAAGTAGCATCTGATCCTGGAGAACCATCCTTTCCTAGAGCACCCGAAACGCCAGGTGACCCATCAGCTCCGGGCTTTCCAGTCGGACCAATTTCTCCTGCAGGTCCAGCGACTCCAGGCCCTGAGAATAATTACACGCAGTTATCGGAACAACACTCATCTTCAACCGAAGCAGGATTTAAGGAATGAAAAGTATACATACCCGCATCGATTCCAGGAGCTCCTGGAAGCCCAGCAGCACCCGACGCTCCAGGTGAACCAGCCGGTCCACGCGGTCCAGACAAATTCATAAATCCAGGAGCACCAGCTTGACCATCTGCCCCAGGTGCACCTGGTGATCCACGTTCTCCGACATCTCCAGGTGGCCCTGACGGTCCAGCGGCACCAGGCGCACCAAATTTTCCATCTCTACCAGGCAACCCAACAGATCCTGAAGGACCGGCAGGTCCCTCTGGCCCTCGAGGTCCAACCGTCCCCTGTGGGCACTTTACACAGTCTTTCATCATAGGGAACACATCGGTCATAAATTTGATCCCGGCAATTCCAGGTTGTCCATCCAAGCCAGCTTCGCCATCAGCTGAAAAAATGGTTTCGCTTGGCAACCAACTTCATTTCAAATTAAGTCTACTTACGCCCTGGTTCTCCAGGCTCTCCTGGTGGACCAGGGAGCCCTCGTTCACAATATGCTGGTGGAGGGCCGCACTGGCACTGTTGCCCTAACATTTCGTGTATTTCGCTTGTGAGGTACAAGTGCAGGTAAGGAAAACGCAATAATTACCACCATCTATGTTACCTGCTGCGTTGTGAAAGCAAGGCACCAACTCGCGCCACACATCATCGGCTTTTTCCTGAAGTTTTTCATTTAATACGCTTCTGAAGCTTGACAATGCTGCTAGGGAAAAGCGATGAAAGGTGCTCAATATTCACCGACTATTTTGGGCAATTACACATGAGGGTTTCCTAATGAAATCCTGGACTCATAAATAGAGCAATAATCAAGAATTTTCTTCACGATCCTACGGAGACTGATAATCCTATGGGGGGAAATCAAGGATCGTAGTTGGCATTGAGCTCTCTGAACAATCCCTCAGTAATGAGAAGTACAGTCAGAACGCCGACTACCAGCGACTGTGGAACATGACAAGGAATGGGTCTCAGGTGTGTTAGCGCGACGGGTGGATCGCGTTTTGATGTGCTTTGTGTTTTTACCAAAAGGGTTGGAGGTTTTCAGCATATTGTTTGTTTCAAATGCTTGCCTGCACGTTTATTCAAATCGAGAGTACCACTCTTGCCAACGACAAGGGCCAATTACCTGTCTCACTTTCACCATCACAGTGCTTTCATTTAACCAAACACTCTAACAAGGGAGGTCTTTCAGGGCAAGGTGCGCTTTTTCAAAACGGTTTTGTGCATATTGTAGGGACGCATGTAGGGAACGCAAAACCATGTTTCATTTTCGCTGAACGGTTATAGCAGTACCAAAAAAGAAGCATAAGGTACTGTTAAGGGTTCGATCCCCCGTGGCGACTAAATTTTGCATTTGGGTTGGCGCCTACGGTTTGGTGCCAAATCGCGCTAAATATCAAAATCAGATGTCAAATTCATCGTCAGGACCATTTGAAGCCAACAAGTGGCCGCCAACCTTGATTGCAAAATTTAGTCGCCGCGGGGCGGGGCGATTGACGTCAAGAAGTATTAATCCATTCACTTGTTGGTATACAAAACGTATCAGCGAAAACGAGAATATGGATTTGTGTCACATGTGGTACAACATGTTACTAAAACCGCTTCCAAAAAGGCACCTTGCCTGAGAGACCTCCCGTGTAAGTCGACACACACGAATTGCGGGTAGGGAAGAGGATAGGGCAGGAGCGAGATTCGGCCCAATGAAGCGGCAAATCCTATAACTTCGCCTATTTTGCGCTTCGTTCGTAAAATTTGCCCTAATCGTCAAAAAAACCGTAAATCACGAGTAGCCTTCACCAAATGACCTTACCTCCACCTCTGGAGAACTGCGCATGGCACCCATCTTGCCCACGACTGCTCATGCTGTTTGTAGCGCACGCGCTGGTTGCTTTCGGGTAGGATCGGGCGGAAATCAGAGAACGCATGAAAAGAAGTGCGCCTTGCGCAAAATTAGCGCGCTACGCGAAATAACAACTGAGAGCAAATGGTGCCTTGAAACGTTTTAAGTTGCGCACAGTCTTTATACAAAAAACTGAAGTAAAGCTTCGTTGAAGTAAGGTCGATAAAAAGTCTCATTCATCTTGCCGGAAAAGCAAAACAGCAAATCAGCGGAAGAGTTGATCCATCACCTCTTTTCTCTGGCGACGTACCAGCGACAGACTCGGTCACCATACTCACGTAAATATACATCTTCTTCACATCGTGGACCGGTCGTTATGCAGACAGCACGGGAAAAAATCTTCACAGCTCCGCAAGGAATCGTTCAGAAGATTTTGTAGAAAGATTGTCAGTATTTTAAACGCGCATAGAGACGTGCTTCTGAATGTAACTCACTACGTCGACCGGACAGCCCTTTCTTGTGTAACGGGACACGCTGTGTCGCACTCGTTCGCACTCTTCTTAGCTTTTGAATGCACTGACCTTAAATTGATTTAGTCTAGTGACGTCAGCGACGAAACGAATGGAGTCGTCCATAATTGCGATTATTTACATACGGAAACGGCGACTCCTACCGCACATGCTCCCATGGCAGAAGCAACCACCGCCTTTGAAGCCATTCGATGGTCGAAAGCTGAAACGTTCAATTGGTAGACAGAAAAGCTAGCCGGCGCGGACGTGAATGCGTGCCGCTGACGTCAAAACGGCGTCACCGCTGCCGTAGTCTCGAAGGAAGGGCAAGCAGTGACCAGCGCCGCAGCCACTTTGCTCAAGTAGTGCTTCGTTTTTAACACAATGTCAACTTGTTCAATTAGTTGTGGCCGCGAGCGCAACGACTATGTAATATACAGATACCATCCTCGCATAGGAATGGAAGTTTTCCGAAAATGTAGAGGAAGTCAAGGCTCTCATGTGCTAACCCTCAAGATGTCCATCTCCAAGCTGAACCCGGCGCGCCTGACGACGTGCCGTCACAGCACTTGATAAAGTTGCGTGGATAAGCTGCTTCTAACAATTCCGTGGCACTCCTAATCAGACTTTGAGATATGGGCTATAAAGAAGAGTACTTTGAGGCAAGAATCAGGATTACATTGATGTGAGGGTGAGGGTTAATTCTACTCAAATGTGAAAGTAGGGATGAGAGGTGGACCGCCAATAGAGAAAAAGGGAAAGAAAATCCTGACATGCACAGGAAATTGTTACGAGCATTTTGTTCAATGCTGTGGAGAATTTCAGAAAACAGGGAAGAAGATGAGAGATAATGTGAGCGCAAAGGGTGGTAGAGAATTCCGAGAAGAGAGAGCATAGCAGATCAACGCAGCGACGCAGACAAGACATCGATCGGTGGGCGGACCATGTTATGTTTGGTGGAGTCTGTTAGAAGTTCATGGCGCCTAGGGTCCTGGTGACGGGTTTCGATGTAGAAAGGTGGCGCTAACTTTGCACTTGGCGTGCCCAGCACTTCTAGCCATGGTAAGGGCTTCTTAGGTGGGTCTGAGTCGAACTTTGCCTTTAATGTTTTGCAGTATTGGTGGCAAAGCGGGCTCTTGCTCGCTTCCTCCCCTCCGCTGTGACGTCACCAAACTGCGCGGAAGGGTCCGCGCCAGAGTCAACCCTGCGTTGCGCAGTTTTCAACGGCCACGTTGCGCAGTTTCGCCCGATTAGACACGTTCTCTCGCGCGAACATTCACACTCGCATGCTCGAGCCGTCTGTGTCTCCGCCCATACAGCGTGCGTTGAGGATCTCTCAACGTGCCGTTGCGAACTGCGCAACGCAGGGTTGACTCTGTCCGCGCCGCCGGTAAGCCTTTCTAAGGAGCTCATTCCTGGAACGACCTATAGATTATCACCTGTTGAAAGGGAGCGCACCTCATTTGGACAGGCAGAACGATGCGCGCACCACCCTCTTGCACACGGTTACAACGCGTGACCACCGATCAACGACTATCAGCTTGCGATTTGTTCTTTCATCCAGGGTGAATATCGCTTGAGGATTCCTCAACGGCACGTCGAGGATTCTCTGCCCGGTCAGACACGATCTCTCGCGCGGACATTCACACTCGCCATGCCGTGCCGTCTGTGCTCTCCGCGCGGATGTTCACTCTCGGCACTACTCTCGCATGGTAGAGAGCTATGGTCGAGGAAATCCTCGACCGTTATTCACCCTGCTTTCTTCGGCTTTCTACTGACTTTTGTACGAAGGAACGCGCCTGCCTTATGCTTCTTATGATGCATTCCCTTGATTTTCGTTATTTGTTTATTATTCGACTCCAGAAGAAAAAATCTCCTGCACCCTGGTCAAAGTCCGGTTAGTATGGATGAGGCACCAGAACATATTCGGTATTAGGTTCGTAATAACGCTCTACTACGTGTGATCTTTACACGGATAAATTAGTAGAAGAACCAGGCGCCGAACTCCAGATTGTGACAAACTCGAAAAAGTAGAGCCTTTTCCAGAGTCAGGTCAGGCTTGTAGCAGGCATCCGCTACAACAATGAGAGCATGTTTTATCCCTGATCATACAAGGCAGGTGTACCAAGTTGCTGTTCATGGCCCAAACCACCCATACAATATCAAAACCACAGTTTTTCGTAGCTTCCAAGGAGTACGTGGATGAGCCTCACCCTATATACTAACTCGGCTTCTTGCTGAAGCTCGGCCGATTCCAAGAACCAACCAGCCCCCAGTGTCAGAAGTACAGGAGTAATCCACGAGAGAAGCTTATTCGCTCGAAGTGGAAATAACTAGCCGGGCGTCTCGCATGCTTCCCTCGCAGAGCTCGACTCTGGTGAGTGAGCCTCCAGCATACCTAAACTAGTACCGAGAGTACATAGTACTAGTAATGAATACTCATGGCCCCACGACTCCGAACTATGTCCAAATTTTGATTATCTCTCAACTTCCAAAGGGGTCCAGTGCGTTGGTCGCGAATACGATAATCACTTCTGTTGTCGGTGCCAGTTGGCCCCCTTTGAGCCCCACCAGCAGCTACACTTTATTACTACACCCTTTTCACGTCAGCTTTCGGCAAAACCTTGCAGAGATTAGTGATCACAATATAGCATCCTTCTTCGGCGCTAACACCACTCAGCCCCATTTCGCGGACGTTAACCTAAAACGTCATATTTTGTCACCACGGGTATAGAACCATGAATCGATTTATCATTCCTTTCATGGTCTTCACTGGGTCGCCCAGAGAAAAAATGGCCATATCTCTAGCTTAAATGTACGTGCTCTTAAAAAATGGAAAAACTCCTTCTGAAAAAAAAACAGTCAACGCTCTTGACAAATGGTAGCCTCCCTGGTAAGTGATTTCCCCCACACGCTCAACATAAGATGTGCCTTCGAACTGAACTTGTAGGAAGCTTAACTATATGTTATACAGAACCAGTTTGCTCCGCCCGCTATCGCGCGCATCACAGGGTAGGGAGGAACCACGGAATAGCAGCATGACGTACTCCATTAACCACCTCACTATTGAATGTGTTATACCTCCTTATACCCCTTCTCTCCGGCGCATGGCAGCGCCATGTTCTCCTCCCTTTCTCCTCTCCCCCCTTCCCCTCTCTCTCCCCTCCCTTCCAGCCTCCCCTTTCTTG